CATACAACAACCCAAATCAAGAATTCAACCATAAAACAACAGAACCCCAGATCCCAACTCCAATTAAAAGCCATCAAACCCAAATCAAACAATAAAAAGACAACCCCAGATCACAAAACTCAAAAAATAACATCAAGAATCTAATAAAAACTGGGACTTTTCAAGGAAACAAAATGCTAGAAATGTACCAAGTATGTATTTGTTCTTGATTGATGAAAAAAATTGATATTTTGTCCCCTGTAAGTAGATTGAGGTGAGTGAAATAGTTAGGTGGTTGGTAAGTGGTGGTAGAATGTTAGATGAGTGAGTGTATATATACACACATATATATAAATATATATATATGAATTGTACAGAGAGAGAAGCTAGAGGGAGAGAGCAGCCAGCCTTGAAACTTGAAAGACACAGAAATGATTCACGTGCGTCTGGTTTGTTAGACGTAGTTTGATTCGCGAATTAAATTATTTTCAAATAATTATATTTCTATGAAATAATTTTACATTTGATGAAATAATTAGAATAAATGTTGAGAAATTTATCTTGGGGATAAATTTATATCATCTTAAGCATATGATATCTCGGTACCAAACAATTCCTAAAGCTTGCGTTTAATTTTTTTTATGATTACTTACTGAGTTGGAACAGACGTGAGTGATTAACGAGTTATAACAATGTGTTAATAACATGTAAAGATGAGATATTACTCGGTGTAGAGTCGGTGCATTGAATACGAGTTCCGATGAACATAGTAACTTTGATTCAAATTTGAAATTTGTAGTGAAAAATTCATTGAATATGTTCAGAAATTCAATAACGGGAAAGAACTAAAACTATGGACACGTAAACTTCAAATTCTTACTTAGCATTTGATTCCACTAGTTCTTTCACTTCTATTGTTAATTGTTGATCCTTTACCAATTAGACATCACAATAGTTAGTCACTACAATCTATCATCATCATTAACTATCATTTGCGATCATCGTCATTAACTATCATAATCAGAACAACGATCAATTAGCAACGGTTTCTATTATCTTTCATTACTATATATTAACAATCGCCATGAAAATTAAATTATTTAATTTGATATAAGCATCAAACATGAAGAGAAAAACCTTTTTCACTAATTGTTTCTCTATACCATCAAAATTAGAAGAACAGGAAAAAACATCGAGAAGTGTGATAGATAGATGGGATCTCTTTATTTTATTAGAGGTTTAGAGTTCAAATGCAAAATGTTTTGTTATATTAATTTCACGTGACATCAGCGAGAATATAAATCAATTAATTTTAAATATTTTATCATATTAATACATTATTGAATTATAATATTTGTTCTACATCCTAACGTAACTTAGAAAATTTCAAAAAGATTGAATTCTCTAACCAAAAATGTTATAAATTTTGTCATCGAAATAAAATCGATTTATAATCCACTATAAAATATGATATTTTTAATTGATTTTTTTTTTAATTCAACAATTGGTTATTGATTTCATTCTTGGCTGCTACCAATATTGAATACACCTAATGTTAGGACTGATCTATGCTTAGAGTTTAATCAAAGTAAAACATAGAGTAAACAATAGGTAACAAAATAATATAATTTAAAAAGTAGGCAAATATAAAAAAGTAAAAAATAAGAACACCATAAGTGAAAATAACAAATTTAATTTAATGAAGTTGAAAATAATATCACTTTCTAGTCATAATTGATCAAATGAGAGAAATTTGTCAATAAAATAATGCCACACCATCCAAGTACCAAAAATCATTTTTCAAAGGAATAATTGAATTTTCTTTATTCAAGAATAAAGTAAAAATGTAATATATAAAATAGAACGGATGAAGTATCATTTACTATGTGGAAGTTAGGAAAATGAAAAATCTGAGTTATGGAGTTAATCTTTTAAATAAAGTAATTAGGAATAAGAAATATAGATTATGTTAAGTAATTAAAGGAGAAAAATAATGTCTAACAATTTTCTGTGATTATTTTCCTTTTTGAATTTTGACTTTTAACACCTTTCCACTTTTAGAAATTAATATAATATAATAATATTATTATATATTACTATTTAATATTTAATTGATTAGCTAATCCATAATATTTATATGCCTTTTCTTTAATTACCAAAAGAGAAAAATATTGTTATCATCAAATTTGAGGTAACAACACAATTTTATCATAATATATAAGTAAAATAATAAAATGATAAATTTATGAATATTCACTAACAAATGAGTCAATAGTGTATATATATGTATATATCCAAAATCATAATTTTATTAATAATTAAAGAAAAGTATAGAAAGTGTTATTAACCTTTTTAAAATGTGCCACTTTCTTTATTACAAAACAATAATTAAAATAAATAAAAATAAAATATAGACACACTAAACTTTGCTACTACTTGCTATTGTTGAAAAGCCTCCACAAATAATGTTAAAACTTTTAGCCATCACTTGTGAATTATCTTTCTTTATAAGTTATTTAGTCAAATTCTTATTGCAAAGTCCAATGTAGAACTTACAAGCTATAAAAATATTAAGAATTGTGGTATAGCGATCAGACTGTTTCATTCTTAGTCAAAGATCTTGAAAAAATTTGCATTATTCTCAAAAAGGATCATTGATCCCAATTTAGTTAGCGTTCTAAGATAGACTCCGAATACCAGGTAAAAACCTATAAAAAAGTAAGTTCTTGTAATTTATATGAAATCCATGTAAGATATATTTTGTTGCACCAAATAAGTGTATGCTTCGATTGTCGTATTATATATTATTAACACTTTTTTTGGGTTATGTTCAACATGATTGTTTTCATACTGTATTGAATTTTCAATTTATATGATTTTATTATCATTTACTTAGCAATTATTTTATTCGAAATAATCTTTTTATCTTTATGAGATAAATATAAAGCTAATCTACACCATTCTTTTTGAATTCTGAACCGTGATATGTTGCTATTACACCAAGTAATAAGTCCATCATCATCAATATGAATTTTGGTGCACATGTGAAAGTGTTTCACCCTTAACCAGAATCTCAAATTCAAACCCTGTATATAAAAAAGATCCTGCTAAAGGCGTCATCCTCGAATCGACCCGAAAGAAAGTCTATCATCTAATTAATTATGTTGTTTTAGAAAAGAAAAACACAGCCAGCCAGCAACAAAAACGTGATATTGTCACTCAAATAATGTTATTTTTTTCAATTTTAAGTGCAGGCTAACGGTCTTGTCACATATATCAAGATTTTGGATTCGAATTTGAAATCGTCTTAATTAGTTTATAAAAAAATAAGATTTTCTGATGTGCATGTCTTTAATAGAAAGCATTATTCTTCTTAAATAAATTTTTTTAATGAAAATTTTAAATAATTAAACTCCCAAATAGATATCAAACATCAATAGTAAAATAATATTTTATGTTATTTTGAATTAAAGAGCATCTCAAAGCTGCGACAAATCATTGCGTTCCTTTTTAAAAAATTTAAGTGTATATATCAATGGTTTGGATTCCAAATCTAAAATCGTCTTCAATAAAAAATATTTTATGAATTTTTCGTCATAAATACTTTTAATAAAAAGCATTTTACTTCTTGAAGTTTGACTTTTCAATGACTATATCTTGAAAGCATCAATATAACTTTTTAATGTAGATTTAAATTAATTAAACTCCAAAATAAATATCGAACAGGTGAATACGAACGAAAAATTAATATTTATTTTATTTTAAATTAAGAGCATCTTAAAGCTACGGCAAATCATAGAGAAAAAAAAAAGGCAAGCAATTAGCAACCTCATGTGACCATATCATATATATTATTATTATATATAATATCTTCTGAAGTTGCAGATGAATATATAATTATATAATTTCCAATAGCCATCACTTATTTTTTTTTATTACTCTATTACTAAATAGTTTTCATAATTTCTGTGCTATTGTATTTGGGGCAAACAGCAGTCCATCCTTGACTGATTGTTGAACTGCTTAATTTTATTATTATCTGATATTTCGAATTCGAAATTCATTCGAAAAAACACTCCCAAAATTTAGTACAATCAATATAACTTGACCTTCACTTACATATTTTCTTCGCTTGCTTTGTAATACGAGCCTCATATAAAATCGTGCTCCTTTTGTATATAAGAAATGATTTTCATTACTTTACAAACTTACTTTTACTTGTAAGTATCTGTTTTACAAGAAATCTTCGTTTTTACATATGAGAGATCTGAAAAAGTTATTTTCTTCTGTTCAACTCGTAATACAATGCTAGAGTTCATACACTGGCTGGAAGAGGGTGATATTAGACTCAATCGCCCCTGCAACTGAGGTCACGTTCAATCACATACCCCCACATCTTATCGCGTTTTCCTCCATCCCATAGACATCAATCTCTGCTCATATTCCATGGATTGTCTTTGGATAAGATTGTTGATTGTAGTAATCACAAACACTTGACGAGGGACCTACTTGTTGCGCGGACTATTCACTTACCGATGTCGCGCCCGTGTCGAATTCTCCAAAAATACACTACTTTTGGTGAATCCAACACGCATCCATTGAAATTATTAAAGAGTCCGAGCAACATAGACAACAAGCACGGTCATCTAGTATTTATGATTATTATGATAAACAATCTTACCCAAAAACAGTCTCATGGAATATGAACAGAGATTGTTGCTTATGGGATGGAGTTAAATGCGATGAGACGTCGGGCCAAGTGATTGAACTTGACATCAGTTGTAGCCGGTGGGGATGATGATTGATTCCAATAGCACTTTCTTTGAGCTCTCGTCTCCAAAAAGGCTCGACCTTTCTTGGAATAACTTACCCAATTCTCACACCTCAGACGATAGATGACTCCAACTGTATTCTACTAAGAAATGTGGCTGGAAAAGGGTGATATTCGACTCAATCGTCCCTGCAACTGAGGTCATGTTCAATCACATGCCCCCACGTCTTATCGCATTCACTCCATCCCATAGACACCAATCTCAGCTCATATTCCATGAATTGTCTCTGGATAAGATTCCTGACCGTAGTAATCACAAACACTCGATGAGGGACCTACTGTAAGCATTCTCTTGAATTTAAGAAGGGAAATGCTTTGATCAGAAATTTCTGTCCAAGAGCACAGTCGTCTAGGATTTGTGATTACTACGGTAAAAGATCTTATCCAAAAACTCTTTCATGGAATATGAACAGAGATTACTGCTTATGGGATGGAGTTAAATGTGATGAGACGTCAGGCCAAGTGATCGAACTTGACATCAGATGTAGCTAGTCGGGACGATGATTGATTCCAAAACCACCCTCCTCCAGCTCTCTCATCTCCAATGACTCGACCTTTCTTGAAATAACTTATCCAATTCTCACGTCTCGGACGATAGATGACTTTAACTGTATTCTACTAAGAAATGTGGCACTTGCTGATCATGAGTCAAGCAACAAATTATGCCTTTGGCTTTGCTAGAACTGCAGTTTCTTAACTCACACATCGTAGGATAGAGTCCACATAATCTGTGTGTTATACAGATCTATTTGCCGCCTTCGCGTCAAGAATTTCCTAAAAAAGACATGACCACATGAGCCAAAACTTAGTTAGAGATGGTACAAATAAAGAGGAAAACAATTTACAAAAAGATAATGGATATAGAAAATTATATACAGCTGATGTGGGTTTGCGTGCAGTGTGTCAATATAAGATTGTAACCGAAAAGATCAATATAGGCATGATAAATATACATCAGAAGCTTTACAGCTCTTGAAACATGTTGGTTTAAGTCTTAGCTCCAACGTGTATATGTCAATTAAGGAAATAAGAAACTACTCATCCAAGCTGAAGTTGGTCCTTTATGATGGGCGTTTCTAGTGTAGAGTTACTAGTGAGCTGAAAATAGTGGCGAGTTCTTTGCATGGGATAGCCATTTGACACTAGAAATTTGAAATTTTTGGCTTATACTGTATATCTCATTTGATGACCGATAAATAAAAATGAAATTACTGATACATGCACAAATGGTGGTTGGCAAGGAAGGTTAAGTATACCATTTAGCTGAAGTGAGCTACTTAACAAAGCACTTAAGCATTAAAAGCAATGCCAGAGGATAGAGTAGCTAATGAGTCAAAGTAAAGAGCATAAGTTAGAGGGCATACCGTTATGTCAAAATTTTGAATCCTTCCCTGCGAATCTTCGATGATGCACTATGTATATCTATGTTCTGTATGACGATAAAAGTGTTATCTCTGATTTCGACCTTTGTCCTTGAGAATCTGTGTACCAACTACCATCATTAATCCTTGGACAGGCCTTACCAAGACCTCATAGTTCTAAATTTCTGCTGGTGTATCAACCTCAAATACAATCTAAGTGATCTGCTTCTGGATGTTGTAACATTTAACAGTTCCAACCAGAGCTAGTGATTCAATAATGGCCTGCAGAAGTTGCTCGGGGAAATCTTCAACACGAGCAGGTCTGTGATGACTTTGCACAGAACTCAGAACTCTACCGACGATCTGAAGGAGGAATAATGAGATGAGATTATGATACTGCTATAGTACTTAGCCTATGCAGTTGGTTGGATAGACTAAGAGTAATTTCCATGATTGGCAATAAGGACCTACCTTTCGTGCATAGCCACCAAAGGCCACACCAGCAATCAAAGCATTCGGTGAATGTAAGGTGCTCGGAATTGTCTCGTATCTTGAAGGCTCTAAATGAATGTGTGGATTGATGTCAAAACTTCAGTGTTATATGGAATGTGAACTTAATAAAGTGTGGACTGTGGAGTTAATACCGTGTATGGTTGTTGTTTGGAATAATCTCTCTTTTTTCAACCCTTCCACTGTGTGAATATTGGTACCACCAGCCAGTTGAAGGAAGCCTATGACATAGGAAGAATCTTCAAATTGCACTAGCAAGTAGTTTATAGAACTAGCTAACAATGAATTGTATCATGCCATTTATCAGAAGAATATTTTTATGTGCAAACCTTTAGGCTTGTCGCCAGCAGAGGCCAATTTTCGTGCAAAAGCAATTGCATCTCTCGTGGCACCTCGCCCAATATCTCCACTCATTGGTCGACCATCCAACTTCAATTACAATCATTAGTAGAAATGATGAGAATATATTCCGCGCGTTCTAGCTTCTAAATCAATTAGCGATAGGACAAAATGATCTGCACCTGCCATAAGTTGACGCAGTGTATGCTGGATGATTCCATTATAGAGTACATAGCATTCATTGCAGATATGGTTGAATCTCTTAAGTCTGGAAAACTAACCTGCACGAAACCATGATAAAAACATAATTCTTGAAATGGAATTAGTTGTTTGAACTTGCTAGATAATACTCCCTCCGTTTCAATTTGTTTATCTGGTTTTGACTTGACAGAGAGTTTAAAAAAATAAAAAAGACTTTTGAATCTTGTGGTCTTAAACTAAAGATATGTAAAATGCACCAAATTTCCCTTCAATGTCGTGGTTTTACACATGCCACGTGGAAAATTAGAATTAAAGAGTTATCAAGAAAGGAAATAGACATTCTTTTTGAAATGTACTAAAAACACAAGTAGGACAAACAAATTAAACGAAGGAAGTAGTATTTAATGTCACCAACAGAGATCAAAAGAAGAGTAACAGCTTCACATACTGCCACGAGCTTCAGATTTGCAGTTGAGTTCCCCAACCCAGTCCAGAGTTCTCTAAAAACAGAAGGTTCCCTGTTCCAGAAACGAGAATGCAGATAAGATACACTTTTTAGCTACAAATTTATGTTACTCTGATAATGTGACAAAGAACCATTTGTACATTTTGTTTGTGATTTTTGTTGCACAGAATAAGGAGTACCAAAATCAGATTGTATTGCATAAATATACTTTGAGTAAGCATTCTATTTTACGGTTAAGTTTGTGTCTCAATTGAATAAGAAGTGTAAATTCACACTTGAATGATTTCGGGGAATATATTAACCGAAAAGAAAATTATGCTAACCTTCCACTGGTATGAATTTCTAAGGCATCAACATCATCCCTTTCAAGAAGTTCAGCTGTAGCTATAACATCTCTCACATACGTAATAGCTCCTGAATCAACGAAAAGATATCTTCATGAATTCAATTTGCAGAAAAACAACAATCCTGAAGTAAAAGGACACGGAGCAGGTGAAAAAAGACAGGCAGCAGTGAACTCACTTATTTTGTCATATGGACAAACCGGAAGGCAGCGACCACAACCATAACAACGCTCAGCCAAAACTCCGCCCTGCAATAGATGTCGCCTTTAGTATTGAACATGAATAAGCTTTAAACGAATATAGCAGGTTAGAAAAATGTAGAATAAATCAAGGCAATTCAAAATGGAGAGAACCTTTTGCAGTATTGCATTAGCAGGACACACTTTCTCACAAGGTCTCATGCAATCCCAGGGGCAATCATCCGGATCAAATTCTGCAAAATTATTATAGACAACTAGAGTATTAAACCAACACATCTTATTTAGGAATACTTTCCATGAATAATCTCATTCATGATAAAATATGATCTCGGGTCTTTGATCTAATTTTCCCAGTACCATTCGTTTCTGAAAAGGTGACTATCTGCCCATTTCTGGAGGTTGACAAATGATAGAATCCACTGAAAATGACGATGCATTAGAAACTACTCTGTGTGATAAACTAGAGTTCTTTGAGCTAAATTCTTCTGATGGTCCGTCATGCAATGTTTGGTAAGTTAAGATGCAATGATTGTTTACAACTATGGCAAAAGGACCGATATTAGAAGACTCGATATGGGCATAAAATAATCAAAGCCACTTCACAGTTTCTAATGCTTCAAAAGCCTACTTTTTTTGATAATTGAGAATTCCCTGACCTGTGCATGGTTCAAACCTCGGTGGATCACGGGCTAGCTCATCTACCCTTCTCCACTTAAATACCATATTTTTACTGGCAAGTTTTTGTCTACGGCAGGGTTGAATTCATACTTATATTAAAAGAAAGCAAGAAACTTTTACTCCTACATCACGTAACCAAGATTATGAGTATCAGAAAGGACAACTATGCTGGTCAATGTCAAAGTGTAGGGGGAGTTACCAGCTTTACGGAAATGAAGATCTTCATCATCATTAACACTAATCATTACCCAAGGCCTGCGTATGGGCACAAGGGCTCTGGCTGCTTCTATCCCTTCATTTACAGCATTCACCACTGACGCCTCAGCAGCGCAGTCAATGCAATCAACTACAATCAATACTCAAACTTACCAACTCTATGCAAGATATAATAATACCAAAATTATAAAGAGACAGTTAATGATTCAATTTTCACCTCCGGCAAGTGTATAAACCAGAGAAAGGTTCCTGATATCAACCAAATCCTACAAAAACCAAGAAAGATAAAAATTGTCTCGAATATATTAACATGTCTCTGCATTTTGTATAATCTTCATACTTAGTTTGTACTAGCTTCATTACACTTCAATGATGAGATTCGACTACACATGGAGTACAAGATGTTTATTCTGATTATACAAAATTTTCAAACATCATATGAATTGGAACATCAAAGTAGTTTATTCTGATTATACAAAAAAAAAGTTTATCTGCAGAAAAGTGTAAAGGTGGAGTCTTTATAGTGAATAAAGGGTTAATAAGTGAAGACCTCAAAGCTAGCACCACAAATAAGCTTGACCCAATTTCCCTTCTGAAGAGATTCAACAGGGGAACTAACAGAAGGAATCACTGTCTTCTTTATGATACTTTTCACCTTTTCAACTCCATTGTAGTTGCTATAATTAAGTGGATCTGGTCATAGAGAAACAAAAAAAATTCAAGAAATTTGAAAACTTATAAAAAGATTATGAAATACCAAAACCCCATAAATCCAAATTGATAGAATAGATAGAGTGTACCTTGCAATTTGGTGCCAAATGAAGCATAGCAAGGAATGCTCATGGCCATCTCCACCTACTTTTGGAGATAAAGAGTAGGTGGAGAAGATTGATTGTTATCTAAAAAGAATCTTAAGTGTTTGAAACCACATCATCACCCCCTATAATTGTTTGAAAATGTTCAAGTACATCCTCATATTTTCAACGGTTGATCAGTCAAAAACTTACACGTTTAGAACATGAAAACAATAAAAATGAGAGTGTTTGAATAGATATGTGAATCTATACTAGGAGAGGCAATACCATGAATGAAGTTATTTGAAGAGTGAT